GAATTACAATGGTCACCATACAGATTTTTATACGACCGCAAAAAAATTTTTGTGGTCGTATATTGGTATGACGTTGGCGTCGTCGTCGTCGTCGTCCGGCGTCGTCGTCCGAAGACACATTAGTTTTCGCACTCTAACTTTAGTTTAAGTGAATGGATCTCAATGAAATTTTACCATAAGGTTCAATACCACAAAAGGAAGGTGGGGATTGATTTTGGGGGTAATGGTACCAACAGTTAAGGAATTAGGGGCCAAAAGGGGCCAAAAATAAGCATTTTTGTAACTTCCAGACATAACTTGTGTGTTAGTGTATGGATCTCTCTGACATTGTACCACAAGGTTCCATATCACAAAGGGAATGCTGGGATTGATTTTGGGGGTAATTGCCTCAAAATTTTAGGAATTAGGGGCCAAAAAAGGGGCAAAAAACAAGCATTTTTATATGGACAAATGCTTTAGTACAAAACAATATTTAAAGCAGTGTAAGGGAGATAAATCAAATTCATCATTAGAATTACCTCCCTTACACTGATTTTAAATTATGTTTAAAGAAATGCATATTTATAAAGGAAGACCAGTAAAAATATCTGCAAATGTTGCATCTTTTTTTTTTTACAAAAAAATCCATATGAAAGATTTGACACCATAATTTAAATTCTATTATAAAATAGATTAAGTTAGCACTATGGTAAATTTAAATGGGTAATTATGGTTGCAAATTCCATTGGAAATTTGAATTGAGATTATGACCATATCTTGAGGGAAAGAATTTTTGGGGGGAAAAGGCGAGGGGGAGGGGGGGGGGGGTTTGAGGGGTAAAAAGAAATTGTGGGGGGTCAATTTTTTCTCATTTCAGATTTCAGAAATTAAAAAGAATTATTCTTCAAATATTACTTTTTTTTCAAATTTCAAATATTGAAAAATTTCAAGAAGTAATCTTTAATTGCACAGTATGGCGCATTAGATTTGTAAAATCTTTGACCACATTTATTTATTTGTTATGCCAAATCTGACTGTGTATTTAGATTTTTAATTTTGGGGTCCAGTTTTCAAATTGGTCTACATTAAGGTCCAAAGGGTCCAAAATTAAACTTAGTTTGATTTTAACAAAAATTGAATTCTTGGGGTTCTTTGATATGCTGAATCTAAACATGTATTTAGATTTTTGATTTCGGGCCCAGTTTTCAAGTTGGTCCAAATTGGGGTCCAAAATTAAACTTTGTTTGATTTCAACATAAATTGAATATATGGGGTTCTTTGATATGCTGAATCTAACCATGTATTTAGATTTTTCATTTTGGGTCCAGTTTTCAAATTGGGTACATTAAGGTCCAAAGGGTCCAAAATTAAACTTAGTTTGATTTAACAAAAATTGAATATATGGGGTTCTTTGATATGCTGAATCTAAACATGTATTTAGATTTTTGATTTTGGGCCCAGTTTTCAAGTTGGTTCAAATTGGGGTCCAAAATTAAACTTTGTTTGATTTCGACAAAAATTGAATATATGAGGTTCTTTGATATGCTGAATCTAACCATGTATTAAGATTTTTTATTTGTGGGCCCCGCTATCAAATTGGTTCATATTGAGGTCAAAAGGGTCCAAAATTAAACTTTGTTTTATTTCATCAAAAATTGAATTATTGGGGTTCTTTGATATGCCAAATCTAACCGCGTATTTAGATTTTTAATTTAGGGTCCAGTTTTCAAATTGGTCTACATTAAGGTCCAAAGGGTCCAAAATTAAACTTAGTTTGATTTTAACAAAAATTGAATATATGGGGTTCTTTGATATGCTGAATCTAAACATGTATTTAGATTTTTGATTTCGGGCCCAGTTTTCAAGTTGGTCCAAATTGGGGTCCAAAATTAAACTTTGTTTGATTTCAACAAAAATTGAATATATGGGGTTCTTTGATATGCTGAATCTAACCATGTATTTAGATTTTTGGGCCCCGTTATCAAATTGGTCCACATTGAGGTCAAAAGGGTCCAAAATTAAACTTTGTTTTATTTCATCAAAAATTGAATTATTGGGGTTCTTTGATATGCCAAATCTAACCGTGTATATAGATTTTAATTTTGGGTCCAGTTTTTTAAATTGGTCTACATAAAGGTCCAAAGGGTCCAAAATTAAACTTAGTTTGCTTTTAACAAAAATTGAATTGTTTGGGTTCTTTGATATGCTGAATCTAACCATGTATAAAGATTTTTGATTATGGGCCCAGTTTTCAAGTTGGTCCAAATTGGGGTCCAAAATTAAACTTTGTTTGATTTCAACAAAAATTGAATATATGGGGTTCTTTGATATGCTGAATCTAACCATGTATTTAGATTTTTTATTTGTGGGCCCGGCTATCAAATTGGTTCATATTGAGGTCAAAAGGGTCCAAAATTAAACTTTGTTTTATTTCATCAAAAATTGAATTATTGGGGTTCTTTGATATGCCAAATCTAACCGCGTATTTAGATTTTTAATTTAGGGTCCAGTTTTCAAATTGGTCTACATTAAGGTCCAAAGGGTCCAAAATTAAACTTAGTTTGATTTTAACAAAAATTGAATATATGGGGTTCTTTGATATGCTGAATCTAAACTTGTATTTAGATTTTTGATTTCAGGCCCAGTTTTCAAGTTGGTCCAAATTGGGGTCCAAAATTAAACTTTGTTTGATTTCAACAAAAATTGAATATATGGGGTTCTTTGATATGCTGAATCTAACCATGTATTTAGATTTTTGGGCCCCGTTATCAAATTGGTCCACATTGAGGTCAAAAGGGTCCAAAATTAAACTTTGTTTTATTTCATCAAAAATTGAATTATTGGGGTTCTTTGATATGCCAAATATAACCGTGTATATAGGTTTTTAATTTTGGGTCCAGTTTTTTAAATTGGTCTACATTAAGGTCCAAAGGGTCCAAAATTAAACTTAGTTTGATTTTAACAAAAATTGAATTCTTTGGGTTCTTTGATATGCTGAATCTAAATATGTGTTAAGATTTTTGATTATGGGCCCAGCTCATGCAGTTTTCAAGTTGGTCCAAATTGGGGTCCAAAATTAAACTTTGTTTGATTTCAACAAAAATTGAATATATGGGGTTCTTTGATATGCTGAATCTAACCATGTATTTTGATTTGTGGGCCCCGCTATCAAATTGGTTCATATTGAGGTCAAAAGGGTCCAAAATTAAACTTTGTTTTATTTCATCAAAAATTGAATTATTGGGGTTCTTTGATATGCCAAATCTAACCGCGTATTTAGATTTTTAATTTAGGGTCCAGTTTTCAAATTGGTCTACATTAAGGTCCAAAGGGTCCAAAATTAAACTTAGTTTGATTTTAACAAAAATTGAATATATGGGGTTCTTTGATATGCTGAATCTAAACATGTATTTAGATTTTTGATTTCAGGCCCAGTTTTCAAGTTGGTCCAAATTGGGGTCCAAAATTAAACTTTGTTTGATTTCATCAAAAATTGAATATATGGGGTTCTTTGATATGCTGAATCTAACCATGTATTTAGATTTTTGGGCCCCGTTATCAAATTGGTCCACATTGAGGTCAAAAGGGTCCAAAATTAAACTTTGTTTTATTTCATCAAAAATTGAATTATTGGGGTTCTTTGATATGCCAAATCTAACCGTGTATATAGATTTTTAATTTTGGGTCCAGTTTTTTAAATTGGTCTACATTAAGGTCCAAAGGGTCCAAAATTAAACTTAGTTTGATTTTAACAAAAATTGAATTCTTTGGGTTCTTTGATATGCTGAATCTAACCATGTATAAAGATTTTTGATTATGGGCCCAGTTTTCAAGTTGGTCCAAATTGGGGTCCAAAATTAAACTTTGTTTGATTTCAACAAAAATTGAATATATGGGGTTCTTTGATATGCTGAATCTAACCATGTATTTAGATTTTTTATTTGTGGGCCCGGCTATCAAATTGGTTCATATTGAGGTCAAAAGGGTCCAAAATTAAACTTTGTTTTATTTCATCAAAAATTGAATTATTGGGGTTCTTTGATATGCCAAATCTAACCGCGTATTTAGATTTTTAATTTAGGGTCCAGTTTTCAAATTGGTCTACATTAAGGTCCAAAGGGTCCAAAATTAAACTTAGTTTGATTTTAACAAAAATTGAATATATGGGGTTCTTTGATATGCTGAATCTAAACATGTATTTAGATTTTTGATTTCAGGCCCAGTTTTCAAGTTGGTCCAAATTGGGGTCCAAAATTAAACTTTGTTTGATTTCAACAAAAATTGAATATATGGGGTTCTTTGATATGCTGAATCTAACCATGTATTTAGATTTTTGGGCCCCGTTATCAAATTGGTCCACATTGAGGTCAAAAGGGTCCAAAATTAAACTTTGTTTTATTTCATCAAAAATTGAATTATTGGGGTTCTTTGATATGCCAAATCTAACCTTGTATATAGATTTTTAATTTTGGGTCCAGTTTTTTAAATTGGTCTACATTAAGGTCCAAAGGGTCCAAAATTAAACTTAGTTTGATTTTAACAAAAATTGAAATCTTTGGGTTCTTTGATATGCTGAATCTAAATATGTGTTAAGATTTTTGATTATGGGCCCAGTTTTCAAGTTGGTCCAAATTGGGGTCCAAAATTAAACTGTGTTTGATTTCAACAAAAATTGAATATATGGGGTTCTTTGATATGCTGAATCTAACCATGTATTTTGATTTTTGGGCCCCGTTATCAAATTGGTCCACATTGAGGTCAAAAGGGTCCAAAATTAAACTTTGTATGATTTCATCAAAAATTGAATTCTTTGGATTCTTTGATATGCTGAATCTTACCATGTATTTAGATTTTGGATATTGGACCATAATAGGTAAATTAAAAAAATTAAAGTTCTTAGACCACATTCATTCTGTGTCAGAAACCTATACTGTGTCAAATATTTAATCACAATCCAAATTCAGAGCTGTATCAAGCTTGAATGTTGTGTCCATACTTGCCCCAACTGTTCAGGGTTCGACCTCTGCGGTCGTATCAAGCTGCGCCCAGCGGAGCATTTTATTATACATATGGTAGTAAGTAAGTAGGTTATGTTTGACCATGATTTCCATCTACCTTAGAATGTTATAAATAATATCAGACCTTGAGTGATCAGTGGTCAGATAAATTTCCATATGCATAATATGTTTATATGTTAAGTGAGTATACTCATTCTGTGTTTGATTGTGTTTGTGGGAACCTGGCTGATGTTTCATTATAAATTGTATAGAAAAGGAGTTGATTCACTAACTCATAATGTTGGCCCTAAAAATCTGAAAAAAATTCACCATGATGATGTAGTGAAAATTTGATTATAACATATGTTAAAATGTCAAATAGTTTCAGTTAAAACGTATTTTCACCAATTGTGTCATTAATAATGTAATTGTGACATCATAATGAAAGGGAATTTTGGTAAAAACCAGATTTTTTGCAGAATCCTGCAAAATTAATGACAGTTTCTGTAAACTAACAGTGGCGCCACCCTTCGCCAACACAAATACTTTTGCTGAAATATTCTTTATATACCATATTCTTTTACTTTTCAATGAAATTTTCAATGGGTGAGGGGTGGCGACACATACAAAATCATGAAAAAGGTGGGAAAATTGACAAATTTCTAGAAAAATGGATGAAAATTAAATTTATTCCTATTTCAAGATAACATATTTATAAATATGAAGCAGATATGCAATTTTCATTTTAAACTTTTAAATATCATACATTTAGAAATGCATACCCATTAAATTTACTTCAATAATGGAAGTTAAAAAAACACCTTTACAGGGCTATTTATTGGGGTTCCTGGCTCTGCTGCTTTCAAACAAAAATTTGATTGAATCAATCTAAATATAGCTTGAACTAATCATTTTCCCTCCTTACAATTAAGTACCAATATAAATGAGTGATTCAGTTGTGTTAAGTAAATGTTTTAACTCATTTGAATGTGTGTATTTCAGTACATTATGATCAATTGTTGACTTATAACACACTTGTTTATTCTACTTCACAGTGATGAAAGTCAGTCACAGAAACAGCCAGCCAGTGAATTAAGCGACCTTGACCTATCATTACCAAGTATTGACCTGAGTTTGACCCTGGTAGAGTATTGGCCAGGATGTAGTACTGTGCTTATTGATGTGTGTCCATGGTGTCTATTGACCAACCATAGCACATTAGATCTAGTATTTATAGATTCTAGTAAAGTAACGTGGCCACTTCCACAAGGAAAGACATTTAGTCCTCCTAAACTACAGGTACATTAGATCTAGTTTTTATAGATTCTAGTAAAGTAACATGGCCGCTTCCTCAAGGAAAGACATTTAGTCCACCTAAACTACAGGTACATTAGATCTAGTATTTATAGATTCTAGTAAAGCAACATGGCCACTTCCACATGGAAAGACATTTAGTCCACCTAAACTTCAGGTAATTGTTGGCTTGGAAATTTTGGGTTCCCAAATTTATTTGCAATACAGGCTTGAGATTTTTTATTCATATAAAGTTTGTAAGTTCTTTAATTATTCATTATTCTTCTTTATGGTACTTATATTAGTGGATTTGACAGGTATGGATTAACCATGGATGTTAAACAAGGTGTGGATTTCTCATAGGATTGTATGCAAACTTGGCAATCCACAAAATCAAGTATCAAAGAAATATATTTTTTTCTGTAATCCATGAAAATTGATACAAAAGTAAACAAATCCACAGTATTATTAGAATTATTTATGGCAGAAATTAAAAAAAACAAAACATTCTGAGATGTTCAGCCATTATATTATCATTAGAAGCTAATGTCTTAATGGTAATTTATATTTGATTGGATGATAGTAAGCCTTTACTGAGGTCAATGTATCAATTTATAACCATTTAAGTGTATTGACCAAGGACAAAGTATGAGGTCAATGTGTCTTTATGAATATAATCTATAAATGATTGTGTTATTGATGTAAAACCCTGCATCTCATTTTATTTATTTATGTTTTAAACATTCACACAACTACCTAGCAACACAAGTTAACCACAAGAAAACACCAAGTTTATATATTTATATATTTGAATGTTTTTATACGACCGCAAAAAAATTTTTGTGGTCGTATATTGGTATGACGTTTGCGTCGTCGTCGTCGTGGTTTGGCGTCGTCCGAAGACACATTAGTTTTCGCACTCTAACTTTAGTTTAAGTGAATGGATCTCTATGAAATTTTACCACAAGGTTCAATACCACAAAAGGAAGGTTGGGATTGATTTTGGGGGTTATGGTACCAACAGTAAAGGAATTAGGGGCCAAAAAGGGGCCAAAAATAAGCATTTTTGTTACTTCCAGACATAACTTGTGTGTTAGTGTATGGATCTCTCTGACATTGTACCACAAGGTTCCATATCACAAAAGGAATGCTGGGATTGATTTTGGGGGTAATTGCCTCAAAATTTTAGGAATTAGGGGCCAAAAAAGGGGCTAAAAACAAGCATTTTTCTAGTTTCATGACAATAACTTGTGTGTAAGTGTATGGATCTTTCTGAAATTGTACTACAAGGTTCCATATCACAAAGGGAAAGCTGGAATTGAGTTTGGGGGTAATTGCCGAAACGTTTAGGAATTGGGGGCCAAAAAGGGGCCAAAAATAAGCATTTTTCTAGTTTCCAGACAATAACTTGTGTTCAAGTGTATGGATCTCTCTGAAATTGTTCTGCAAGGTACCATACCACAAAGGGAAGGCTGGGATTGAGTTTGGGGGTGATGAATCATAAGGGGGTTCAATAAATTGGGGGAGGGGGGGGGGGGGTTTCCTTTTTTTTTCTTTTAAAATTTTCCATTTTAAGTTGGTTATTTCTGATTTATATTTAAAAGCAAATAATAATGATATGGTAGGAGATACACACCAAACAGGATGTGTAAATTATTATATAAAAAGTATTGTGCAATAGCAAGAAATTTTCAATTGCACAGTATTGCACAATAGCAAGAAATCTTTAATTGCACAGTATTGCGCAATAGCAAGAAATCTTCAATTGCACAGTATTGCGCAATAGCAAGAAATATCCAATAGCACATTATTGCGCAATAGCAAGAAATTGTCAATTGTACAGTATTGCGCAATAGCAAGAAATATTTAATTGCACAGTATTGTGCAAAAGAAGATACTTCGTATAAATTGCTTATTTCTTGACCAATTTCAATGGGGTTTTATTCTTGAATTCTTGGGGTTCTTTAATATGCTGAATCTAACCGTGTATTTAGTTTTTGGATTTTGGGCCCCGTTTTTAAATTGGTCCACATTGAGGTCCAAAGGGTCCAAAATTAAACTTTGTTTGATTTCATCAAAAATTGCATTATTGGGGTTCTTTGATATGCCGAATCTAACCGTGTATTTAGATTCTTAATTTTTGGTTCCGTTTTCAAATTGGTCTACATTAAGGTCCAAAGGGTCCAAAATTAAACTTAGTTTGATTTTAACAAAAATTGAATTCTTAGGGTTCTTTGATATGCTGAATCTAAACATGTATTTAGATTTTTGATTATGGGCCCAGTTTTCAAGTTGGTCCAAATCTGGGTCCAAAATTAAACTTTGTTTGATTTCAACAAAAATTAAATATATGGGGTTCTTTGATATGCTGAATCTAACCATGTATTTAGATTTTTAATTTTTGGGCCCCGTTATCAAATTTGTCCACATTGAGGTCAAAAGGGTCCAAAATTAAACTTTGTTTGATTTCATCAAAAATTGAATTCTTGGGGTTCTTTGATATGCTGAATCTAACCATGTATTTAGATTTTGGATATTGGACCATAATAGGTGAATGTCCAATTTAAAATTTTTTAAGTTCTTAGACCACATTCATTCTGTGTCAGAAATTTATGCTGTGTCAAATATTTAATCACAATCCAAATGCAAAGCTGTATCAAGCTTGAATGTTGTGTCCACACTTGCCCCAACTGTTCAGGGTTCGACCTCTGCGGTCGTATCAAGCTGCGCCCTGCGGAGCATTTTATTATTGTAATTCTACATGTTAATTTTGTAAATTTACATTTTACAATTGTTTGATAATTTTATATTTTTTTTCTGCAGTAGAGTTTTATTACCCCCCCACACACACACACACACACACACACACACCTAGCATGCTGTTTAGGGGATGAAGTGTTTTGTCTGTTCTTTCATTTGTTAAGTTTTCCTTTTTTTTGTCAGTTGATCCATTATGAATAGTGAAAAAGTCCACAGTTGAATAAGGTGACCTTGACTTTCAATTTACCCATGTATTTCTTGGTTAAATATTGTTTTTTAAGTTCAGATCTAAATAATAACAAATGGATATTTGATTATTTTTTGAATTTTGACTTTACAAGAATCTTTTAAAAAGAAATGAAAAAAGATTTTCATCCTTTATCCCATTGACTTTTTGCTTCAATATCATGTTGAATAAAATAGTCGCCATGATTTATAATTTGTTTCTATATATTACAGTCATCCTTTAGTATTGGTATAGTTATAAATGGTAATCTCCATCAAGGAGGTGAGATACGTCTATCTGAGGAGGCTGTAGCTGACCAGAGGTATAGACAGGATCTAGGTAAAACCCTTTACATAGATGGGTATGCTCAGACACAGATATTGGTGACATCACATCAAAATATGCATGTAAGTTAATAACAATCTCAGGGCCTTTTATAGCTGGCTATGTATGGATTTTCTCATTGTTGAAGGCTGAACTGTTACCTATAGATTCTTACATGAACCTACATGTGGATTTTGGTGGTTAGTTGTCTAATTGGCAATCATACCTCATCTCTTAATTTTTATTTTGAATCTTGTTGATATAAATATGAGACAGGTGATACCTGAAAACTTCTCATGTTTAATGGTGCAGGTTTGTTTTACTTTTCATCATACATAAGAAGATCATTTGGTGTTTTTCCTGAAATGTTCTGTCCATAAGGTAATCATTTGGTGTTTCCTGAAATGTTCTGTCCATAAGGAAATCATTTGGTGTTTCCTGAAATATTCTGTCCATAAGGAAATTATTTGGTGTTTTT